CACATACGGAAGAACTAGAACTCAAGAATAATTTCGACACCGTAAACATAGACCATAAATTTAGTCTCCTGGAAATCAATTCAGTCATTGTTTTCCTTTATATGTGTGACTTTCATCTACCCGTTTCCTGTGTACTGATTTAATTTTCCTCCTTACTTTTACAGATTTCATTGTTCCCAGTGGGAAGTGGATTACGTAATCAGTCTGAAACGCTAGTTCACGTGGTGGACGTTCACTAGAAGGAATCTTTTTCCACTTCACTGATGCATCTGATGGGATTTCTTTTCAGTTCTAAGAGGGCGAAATTCTCCAAGTGCACATACTAATCGGTCCAGTTACATTTGCGATGTATACTTCGCTGTGTTGTAACATCCTCTCTCGTGCTCATGCGAATAACAATGAGTCAAGATAGCTATCAATCTCCTGTCCAACAGAGAAGGCCATATTCGGGTGAACTGAATCAAATGCACTCAGTAAATCAACAAACACGTTCATCTGAAAATCAATTTGATTTTCACAGAAGACTCAAACGAGTCTCTTGTTTATGATATTCTTTAACTTAATTGCTGCACTAAATCCGCTTCCTGTTGCAGTTGGTGCAATATTCGAGATATCGCAGTATGTTTTCCTAAAGGATACTACTCACAAGGTTGCTGAAAACTCTTCGACAGCCCGGTAACTTATTTTTCGTCTGATCTAAGATAATAGTTTAAGATCCACGGACAGCTACCAACCAGTTCAGACCAGTAGCTTCTACCTTCATGTGGTGGTCTGGCTTGAGTTTTATAGTGATCTCACGGGCCAAACTGCCTGGAAATTAGTTTCTCAAGGTTCAACCGTACATGGAAGATCAAGGGGAACAATTAAATAGCGAGCAGCAAGCTTCCTTATTACGAGCAATGGTAACACGAGGCGGTTTTGAGGTGAAGCTTTACTGGTCTCTTCGGTGTAAAGCGAAACAAAACAAATCGAAACTGACAAGGCTGCATCGTCGGTTTACTTTTTGAAAAAAACCTGACTTGCCACGTCACGTTTCACTGGTTTCTGCATGGCCGCATTATGTTTGAATAATTTACCACTGGGATACCCATTATAGTCCACAGCCGGACATATTGGGGTACACTGTTTGTGTATTTTTGGTGGTGCAGCCGGGTTGCTAGATTCTGGTCCCAGTTTAAGTTTGATGCCACGAAGGCATTTTGATGATGACAGGTTCATTTCTCTCATTCCTTCTTGGGGCCAGTGGTGTTTATATGTATGCATGGTCCTATGGGCAGATGGTATACTGTTTTGTCCTCTTTAAGGTTCATGGCGATTGTGATATTCCCTCCATCAGACGTTATGATGCGGTTTGTCCTGTCGTGTTTTAAACGTATGAAGATATTCAATCTGTTCTTCGTGAGATTAGAATTTGTCGACCAAAATCAGTCCAAGATATAATGCATGTATTTCCCACCGCGAAATCTCGACGGATATGTACAGGGTCGCTGTGCTGTATCAGTGACTAATCACAGAACGCCTTCGTGCATTAACAGAGTTGCCATCCCAATTCATCGTACAAAGCTGACTCGAGCCTGACATTCTGCACGTGATCGATAGCTCGGCCCAAGGTCAGGTGTGACATGCACACAGAATAACAGAGGGACAAGGCACATGTTTCACAGCGCGTTTCAGACGCGGCGAAAGTTTTAATGTCAGCCATCTTCGGCGGTCAAAACATCGAACAGTTTCACCTGATGTGTTCGCTGTGTAGTCGTCTGAATTCGCATATGAGAAGTCTACTAACAGTGAGTTGCAGGTGTTGCGCATACTCAGGTGATGATGCT